CATCCTACAGGTGAACATTGAATTTTCTAAGCCCCATTTATTGAAGAGACTGTTCTTTGTCCACTGTGGATTCTTGGCAACTTTGTCAAACATCAGTTAGCTACAGAAATCCAGGTCAACTTCTTTATTCCCTTCCCTGTTACATTGGCCTATGTGTTTATTTTTATGCCAGTGCCATTCTGTTTTAGTTAATAAAACTTTGTGGCATAATTTAAGGTCGGGTATTATAATGCCTCCTGTTTTGCTCATTTTACTCAAGATTGATTTGACTATTTGGGGTCCTTTGTGGTTTCATGGAAATTTTGAGATTTTCTTTTCTATTTTTGGAAGAATGTCAGTGTTATTTTCATATAGAGATTACTTTTCATCTGTAGATCATTTGGGGTAGTATGGACATTTTATAATATTAACTCTTCTGATCTATGAACATAGAATATATTTCCATTTATTTGTGTCCTTTTAAATTTCTTCTATCAATGTTTTGTAGTTTTTAGCATAGAGACCTTTCATCTCCATGGTAAATTTATTTCTAAGTATTTTTGGTAGTTATTTTGGATGGTATTTTCCTCTTAATTTCTTTTCCAGTATATAGAAATTCTATGTTTAACTTGTATTCTAAAACCTACTAAATGATTTTTGTTAATCCTAGCAATATTTTAGCAGAGTCCTCAGAATTTTTTGTATTTAAGAACATCTCATCTGCAAATAGGGACAATTTAATTTTACTTTTCTGTTTGGATGTATTTGTCTTTTATGATCTTTAATTTGAAATCTATGTTATGGTGTAAGAGTGACTATTTTGCTCTCTTTTGGGTTTCTTTTCCATAAAATATATATTTTTTTTCACTTATTCATTTCAGTCTATGCATATTCTTATCAATGAAGTTAGTCTCTTACATTTTAGTTGAGCCTTTTGAATATCTATTTAGCCTTTCTAGAATATTTCAATTATAAGCCTAATTTAAACTTTTATATTTAAGGTGATTATTGATTGAAAATGAATAATTATTACCATTTTTAATTGTGTCCCTGTCACTTTATGGATTTTTTTCCTTTTTTTGCTCTATTGCTATCTTTCTTTATGATTAAATACTTATCTGTAGTAATGTGTTTTGACTCTTTGCTTTGTGAATTTTTTATGTGTGTATCTGTTAGAAACTTTTTTTCTTGATGGATACCATAGGCTTATAACATATCTTAGAGATATAAAATATTATTTTAAGATAAGAGATACTCAACTTTGATGGTAACAAACAAAACTGAAAGACTCTACCATTTAACCCCACTTCCTCATAAAAATGATATGTTGATGTTTTAATCTGCACCTTCTTATACTATAAAACTTTTAAAATTATTATTTTTTTAATAGTTTTATCTCATCTTTCACATTAAGTATATATGATGTACACACCGCTGTTACAGTACTCGAGTATGTTGAATTGGATTATGCACTTTTACCAATAAGATTCATATGTTCAAGCATCTTTGTGTTGCTCTGTACCATCCTTGTTTTCTAGTTTGAGGAATTCCATTTAGCATCTCTTATAAGAAAGGGCTGGTGGCGTTGAAGTCCTTCAGCCTTCATTTGTCTGTTGTCATTTATGGAGGAAAGCTTTGTTGGGTAAGGTATTTTTGTTTTTTTACTCTTTTATTTTTTTATTATTGTTTTTTAAATTATTATTATTATTTTTTTTTATTTTTTTTTTAATTTTTTTTTATTGGTTGTTCACAACATTACAAAGCTCTTGACATATCATATTTCATACATTAGATTGAAAAGTGGGTTATGAATTCCATATCATTTGATTGCGTCCTGCCTTGTAGATTTCTGCTGAAAAATTCATTCATAATCATATTGGTATTATGTTATATGTGATTTTAAAAAAAAAATCTCTTAATGCTTTCAGAATTTTTCTTTGTTTTTGTTTTTGATAATTTGATTATTCTAAATGTGAGTACATTCCCCTTTTTGACTGGATTAGAAACTTCTGTTTCCTGTACTTGGGTGTTGTTCTGTTACCCAAAACTAGGGAAGTTTTCAGCCATTAGTTCTTCACAATAGCTTATGACTCTTTTTTCTCTCTCTTCTCTTCTCTTTGACTCCTACTAGTCAAAGGTTTGATCCTTTGATGCTACCCTACAAGTCTCATAAACTATTGTCCTTAGTTTTTATTCTTTTGTGCCCCCCCCCCGGCCCCTGCCACCTCTGCCCAACTTGGAAACATCAACTGATCTTATAGCTCATTGATTCTTTGCTTTCCTTGATTGATTATCCTGTTGGAGCTTAAGATCTTAACACTACTTAAGATCTGCAATTGAGCAGGTCTGTGGATTGGTTTTCTAGGTCAGGTGGAATCATTGTTTTGGACAGGCAGGACATTAGAGTCTTTGGAAATGTGTCACTGAGGATTTCCTCCTTGTCTGAATAGTACTGTTGGGTGAGCTTTTGGCTGAGTTCTGTAGCTGTAGCTGTTTGTTTTCCCAGATTAAGCAGGATTAACTGCCACTTTTCCCTAAAAAGCACAGAGGAGTTCCAGAGTTCCTGCTTGGAATGGGATAATTGGGTGATCTATTAGACTATGTGGAGTCCTTTCTTGACTTCCTAGAAACACTAAATGAATGCTTCCTGTTCTCCTTTTCCCTTGTAAGAAATATGGGCCCAGAGTTGGACATGGTGGCACAGGTTTGTAATCCCAGTGGCTCAGGAGGCTGAGGTAAAAGGATCAAGAGTTCAGCTTTTCTGAGCCAGCCTCAGCAAAAGTGAGATACTAAGCAATTCAGTGAGACCCTGGATCAGTGGTTGAGTGCCCCTAAGTTCAATCATTGGTACTCATCTGTGGATATTTGTTAGTTGAACTTTATGTGGCAGGAAGTAGAGCACAAAGCCCCTTTCTTTACCATTTTGCTCACATCATATAGTTTTTCATAGTGATATTTATTTTGTGTGTATATGAATTGTATTTGCTCAATTTTGTTATAGATGTTTCTCTAAATAGATGTTACAATTATTTTTCACATATTTTAGATTAAAAAAATTACATGATAAATATGAGAGTTTTAATATATCTATGTTGTTAACTCAAGAATAAATAACCAAATTTATTAAATTAGATTAGTGAATACTATTTTGGTGCTAAGACCATAAAAGATTAAGAATAAAATCTAAACTTATTCTACAGAAAAATAGTATAAGTTTAAAGTGGCATGTCCTCCTCCAAATGAAAGACCACATAACTTTTTAGAAAGTAATTTGAAATTTGTGTATTTCTTTTATCATCATCTTCTATACAAGCAGTATGGTTGAAATACAGTTTCTTTGGTAAAGGTAGTATGTTTGTCATGTTTCCATAACTATAACAATACACATAAGGTAATCAACTTGAATGCAGTAAAATTTATTTTGTCTCAAAGTTTTAGATGTTTCAGTCTATGATTTGTTGACCTGTGGCACTAAAGTGGAGAGCAGGGGATGCACCCACTGACTTTCCTCTCACTATACTCCATCTCTTGTATGTTATGTCATCTCCCAATAGGGTTATAAGCTGGGGACAAGGCCTTTAACACATGGACATTTGAGGAACACTTAAGATCTATATTATAGAAGGTAGTAATCTATATCTACTTTATTCGATGAAGTAATCATTAGCCATAAATAATTATCATTGAACATTGGTAATGTGGTCAACATGACTAAGAAACTAAGTATTAAATGTGTTTAATTTTAATGTTAATAGCCACATGTGACTAATGCTACTATATTGTTCTGAAAATATCTATAGGTTGCTATAATATTATTCCTATATTAGTTTTCAGTACTGTTACGGTATTTTGTATACTTAATGCACTTATTAATTCACTAAATATCAGCCATAATTTGTTATTTGGCAAATTAATGACTATAATATAGGCATTATAATTATCAATGATATAGCTATTATTACATATAATAGTGAAAAGAAAATAGACAAATATAAATGGATATTCAAATATTGGTGACATGGAATAATGTCCTCACCAGAGTTTTAACAAATTTGAACAAATTGCCCAATAGTGTGAATTATACAATTTCATTTCTTATAAATAATAAGCATCTATGTACAGATGTAGTTATGTTATAGTTTTTCTATATAGTTTTCTATATATTGAAAAACAACGTATAAACAGATATTATTTAGCTGTATTTGTTGATGGTACACTTGGAATAGAAGATAACAAGATCCACTTTGGTCCCCTATAATTTCAACCTTCTTGTATCTATGCTGATGTTTAATACTTTCTCAAGTGTGGGTCAGATTTGTGACTTTCTTCTAATGAAGGGAATATGACAAAAATGATAAGGTATACGTCTCTTTTTCTTTGTAGTAGTGCGTGCTAAGTCCTGTCTAATTAGTTCAGTTGTAGCACCTGAACATACTACATGGGAGTGTACATAGTAAGTTCTTGATATAAATAAATAATTTTTGACTTAATAAAATCTGTAATAGTATTGAACTTTAGCCCTAAGAGGAAACCCTTTCCCTGGTTGGCTTTGATGAAGCAATCTGCCCTATTGTAAACTGCCATTTGGAGGGGTTCACATGTCAAAACACTGATGTTACCATCCAGCAAAAGCCAGCAAGGCAGGCATCTTGTGTTGTAGAAGAAACTTCAAGATGGTAAAACTCATGTGTGTCTAGGAGTGGATCAAAAAATGGAAAAAGAGTGAATGAGTCTAAAAATGTATGCTATTGCATTCATCAGTTGACACTACATATAATTGAAAGGCTCCCAATTGAGATTTTCTTTAATATTCCTAATATTCTTTAGGAATATTAATGGTGAAAGAATGATAATGTTGAATGTACCAAGAAAGGGGAAACACCACTATCTCCTGAAAAATAACAATAAAGTAAGTCACTAAATATTTGAATTGGAAGATTGAGTAAGAAAGAAAAACCAAGGATGATGCAAAATGAGACTTGGTATTATATATCTGAGTCAATTTCCAAAACGAATTTACAGCTAAGACTAGAATCAAATCCTGACATAGCACTTGTCCTGTTGTACTAGAGTCCTAAGACAAAATCAGCTGGCCTTGATTCACTGGTAGGGGCAATCCAGGTAAAAAACATGAAAGATGTGGGTTGTCAGGTAACTTTCCTCACACACTTCAGGAAGTTGATAACTATTATTATGTATTATAAACTCTCTTTTCTTCTAGAGCTCATACAAATATCAAAGGAATAGTAAGTTGCGAAGGTTCTCTGTCATAAAAAGTCAATTATTCACCTGAGGGCTGAAAATATTAAGGGTGTATGTGTAAGCAAAGGACCTGTGTCCTAGCTGCTTGATTCTGCATAGAGGGAGTTTCATGAAATATTAACAAAGACTTAAACAAAGCAAAACAAACAAAACCCAACCTTCTAAAAGCTCCCAGTGAAGCTCTTCTACATTAAACGTGCTGATTTTGTAAAAGAAAAATAAAGAGTTTATTCAAAGACAGAGAATGAGATATAATTAAATGGGAAAACAACCATGTACATGTATATGAGGCTTATAATCACGAACATGACAATTTTCCTAAATTAATTAGGAAATAAATTCCTATTTTATTTAAAATTTTGAAATTTTAAATAAAAAATTTAAATAAAATTCCTAAATTAGAATGATTTCATAGTTACTCTAATTCTCAGAATATTAATAAAGTATTTAGAGGAATCTCTGGAGAATAACTAGAATGAAAACAACAACAAAAAAATCCATAAATAGGTTAGTCACCTCTTAAAGACCCCTAACTTGTCCCACATTCTCCCCCATCTTAGTGCTTCACAATGGGAATTAATTCCAATATAAATTTTGGTTGGGACATTCAAACCATAGCAGTACCCTTTGGGGATCTGAAAGAAAGATGGAGAATTGTGCCCACTGAGTCACACATTTCAAAACGGAGGATTTGCAGAAAAGGTGATTCCAAACTTTCTCTGCCTCTCATGATCACCTTCCATTTCTGGCTCTCTAGTCAAAGACTGAATGGAGAGAATATTCGTAAAGAAAGAACAGTGTGAAAGTTCTACATAGGACTTCCTACATGAGACTGCGCCATTGCTTGATATGTGGCCTCTGCTGTTGGGAGAGGAACCCCATGTACAGGTGCGTGCCAAGATTCCCAGGAAGCTAATGGTGAGGGTCTGGGACTGGGGTTGTCTCCCTGGAGGAGAAGCATGTGCCAGTAATAGCCCGGGCTCCTGGAGGCTGTAGTTTTGAAGATATGCAACTTTCTCAGAAGCCATTTTGAGTTACTTAAATCCAGTCTAAGAAGAGGTGGCTTGGTTAGTGTTCACCTGTGTTGAAGTGCAGTTAGGGGACAGGGAAGGGACCAAAGTCCCCCATAAAGCATCTGCCCCATGGAGAGGAACCTGGCTCCAGGTAGCATCATGGACCTGCCAAACTTCTCCCCCCTCCCTGTCCTGCCCCAGCTCCCAACCTATTGCCCCAGTCTTGGAAGAT